ATAAATAATAAATGATGTGAAATATAAAATAAATATTTCTTTCGAAATAAGTTGACCTCCAAATAGGAACTGCTGCATTACCATGCCGAACATCATCAAGCACTGTGCTGTATCAGCGTGATCCGGCCCGAACTCTTCCTCCACTCTCTTTAATATTTTATCAAGTATAATCTCAGCCTCGCTGTAATTATTGTTATTGATACATGTAAGCGCCTGAAGACGGAGGAAAAACGATGAATTTGCATTTCTATTAGTGCGAGTGCGATCCACAGTTTTCGTTGTAATAATACAATACCATCTCTCATCGAACTCCCCCTTACCTGTGAATAGAGGTCCTCTGTGCTGGACGAGGACATTAGAAAAATAAACTCTGTAAGATGCTGCTGCATCATTGTCGCTGTCCCATTCCCCCTTTACATACAATATGCCTCTCTGAGCTAAGCTTATGATGAAGATAGTCCTCGCCGGCTGAGTATAATCCAGCAGCTTTGTAAGGCATCGTCCTGCGAATACATCAAGTGTAGTGTTATCTCAATAGGCGAATCGCTAAGGACTCGGAAGAGTTCATGCCCGATGACCGCGCGAATATCCGGTTAAAGGATTTCTTTACAACAGCCGTTGAAGCAAAAGCAGCAGAGGAGTCAATTATATTATGTCGCAAGTTTCCAACTCATATGGATATGCATCTTGGAAAATGCAATATGGCCGCGGTATTGAGCCTCGAGGCGATGGGAAATTGCAAGTTTCCAAGATTCTCAATCCCAACTATCGGGCTGTTGAAAAGTCGATTTTGAGTCTTATCATCGACTCTATAATCGATTTTTCAGAATCGTTTCCATTGAGCGCGATGTCGGAAACGATTTTTAAAATCGATTCTCGGAAACGATTCCATAATCGCGCAAGACATACCCCATGTTCATTGAATCAATTGTGGGTCAATTCGGAATCGATTCTAGCATCGTATTATGCGTGTAATAAGCGATTCTGGGAACGATTCTGAGTTCCGAAATCGGTTCATTGAACGACCCCATAGTTTATTAAATGATCGGTATCTCCCGTCGTCTCGACTATCTAATAATTTCTAGTTATAGTATCGACTCATCTTGTCGCACTTAGCAAGTGGTAAGGATGGTTGTGACTAGATCTACTCGTGTTGACGATCCGGAGTCTGCTATGTCTAGCATTCCTAAGCCTGAAGGTAAGGCTAACCCCATGCTCATTGAATCTATTCTGGATTTTAGAATCGACTCTAGCATCGTGTTATACGCGTAATTCGCGATTCTGAATTTCAAAGTCGGTTTATTGAACGTCCCCTGAGGCTAAGTCATCGACTTCGTATCGCTTTGATGATGCTTCATCAGTTCATAGAAGCAGCCAATCTCCTCCATCCTACATAACCATCACACGAACTCTCACACTTCGTGTGTCACGAAGCTAGAAGTTCGGTTCGGAGAGTGGTTCGATTAGGCGATATAGGAGTAGTGATATGGAGTTGTTACGTAAGTTTGATTTTTTTCTTCATCTTTGTTATTTTTATTTTTTCCCGTTCTGGAGGAAAATTTTAGTCACTTGAAGCCAAGCTCACTACTGCTACGTAGTTGATCTTGTCAGCCTTACATAACAAGTGGGCACAGAACTTGCTCGAAGTCGCCTTCCCGCAGCATGGATGTGGAAGTCGTTCGATCAAGAATCTTGGGTGGAATTTCAGAAGCGAAAATTCACTTATCGTCTCCCAAAGAATCGCTTCCAAACCCACTCTGGTATATGCAGTCACCACAAGGATAAGGGCCAGTGCACATGGTCAACTACATGTGCTGCTAGGAATATGGAAATTTCGCGAAATTATCGTTGATTTTTGTATACTTATACCCAAAATCGTGTGATTCTTCATAAAATGGTGACGAAACCTACGAGCTCAATTGAGGAAACCAAGCATATATTCCCACACTGATAAGGACCGACTGATTTATCACACTTTTCGCTAACCTTCAACGATTGCATTCACTCTGCAGAGCATCAAACTCCACAGTAGCGAGCAAAGAAATAGAGTTGAATAGGTGGCGCAAAACGACGACTTTGACTACACCATTGGAGATACCAAGATTTGTGTTTTTTTTCACCGAAAAATTCCCATCATTGTAAAATGCGGTAGTTTTTCCCTCTTTTTCAATGCCTCCTCGACCAAGGAAAAACACACCAGAAACGACCCAAAGCCGCTTGACTGAAAAGTCCGTCGGGCCCCTTGACAACTTTCATGGTAAAGTTGCCGACAAGCAGCTCGGCTGGATGGGAAGACTCCTACTGCTCGGGGCTTTGGGCCTGTTTTGGATCTTCCAGAGGGAAAATATGATACCGATGCGATTTCGTTTGCCGAGAGTTATTCGGGGTGTGAAAGAGGCTACTACCACTCCTTGTCGAGATGAATACGAAATGAAGGTTAGTACACTGGAGGTTCACCCGTTTTACGTGAAGTGGAGTAATCCTCTGTGAAAAACGCGGTGATATGCAGCAGTCGTGGAATATGTTTTTTCACTAGTGTTTTCATATCACTAGGGTGAAACTTCATTGTGCATGAAACTATGCTGTTGATGGTGAATGTGACTCAATCTCAAATTCTGAGGAAAACTCCACTGGAAACAAATTTTATTTTTCTAATTCGTTTTTCCACTTTTTGAATTTGAGGTTGAAAACTTGTAGTCGCTGTGATTCTGAAATGGAAATCAAACAAGTATGTGCCTTGAAAAAATTGTGACGGTATAGTGCAGTATGAGGGGAAAATATGCACATGGTCAACTACATGTGTCTGGTGACACTATAAAAATTTCAAGGAAATTTCGAGAAATTATTGTTGGTCTCTGAACATCTCCGCTGTGGTTCGTATACAAACTCCCATATTCAGTGAGGAAACTCCCGAGCTCAGCTGTAGAGAGTACATACATATTCCTATGTGTAGCGTCGTCACATTCCCCCATCTCGCAGTTGCTTGCTGTTCCCTCTCATTCAAGCTCGGTTTTCACCGGGCTTGAATATCATTCTTCGTGTTAACACTGGAAAAAATAATTATTGATTATTTTTCCGACTCCTTCCTATACTTGCGTCTATTGCCTTGATATTGAATCAATACTATTCATCATCATCATCTCTTCTCCGCCGAAGAATTCTCTCGGGGGACGGTATATGATCTAATTATAATACTTCTCAGGAAATTCAATCGTGGGTGGATACTCATCTCGCCGCAGCCCGTCAGTACAGGTCTGCTAATCCTATTGAGGACAAGCCAGATATGTTACTACTGCTCGGTGGTCCTGGCGCTGGAAAAGGTAGTAGGCTCCAAGCTTTATACTATAGTATATAGTTTACGTTAGTAATCTATTATATTCGCGATGATATGCAGTTGTCGTGAAACATGTTTTTCACTAGTGTTTTCCATTTCACGGGTGAAACTCCATTGTATAGCCATTGATAATATTACTTAATACTAGTATATATAATGCATATTTATTTATCCCTTATTACGATCTTGTTTTAATATTGTAATATATTGGAGGTTCACCCGTGAAATGAAAAACAGTAGTGAAAAAAGCACATTCCACATTTCACTTCGCGAAATTCACAATCTCCCTAGTGAAAGAAATAGTGTAAAACGCTGATTACTCGGAGTCTTTTGCGTTCATCGCGAAAAGTCGGGAGTGTTTTACGTGAAATGTGAAGATTTGTCTGATGTAATTCACTTCATATCGCGAATATCACGTTTTTCGCGTAAAACGGATTGTGAAACTCCATTGATAACTAAAGACGCGAGTGAAATTGTGAGCAATGAGTAAGGCACTGTTGTGAAAATTGCACATGGTCAACTACATGTGTTGGTGACGATATGAAATTCTGAGGAAATTTTGGGAAATTCTTGCTGGTTTCCCAATTCGTACATAAATTCCTATGATTAGTGAGGAAACTTATGTGCTCAGCTAAGGAGAGCGAACATATATTGCAACACTGGATTGAGTTTCTTCCTAAGATGCCACGGTGAAATAATTTGATATCACCAAGTGTTTCCTAAGGTACACTTTTACGTAAATGGCGTGAAGGAGGAGGTCCGAGAGACGCCTTCGCCTTGATCGGTCTCGATGAGTTCCTACAGTTCGTTCCCGAGTTCAACCACTCTGCTAACGACAAGTATTTCGTATTCGAAGATGCGGCCAGCCCGAAGTGTTATAAACCTGCAATAAAAGCGGCGAAGTTGGCCAATACAGTGGCTGTTGCTGAGGGTCTCAATGTTATATATGAGGACACTGGCAAGGACATAACTCGTCTTGTTGAGCGTGTTATACCACCTTATAAAGAGGCAGGCTACCGTATCACCATAGTGCTGGTTCACAACGAGCCCGATATTGCCATTCAACGTGCGTTCATGCGCTTCCTTGGTGATGGACGTTTGGCTGATGAGGAGTATATAAAGAAATCATTCAAAAACGTTGATGATAATTATTATATAGTTCGTAATAGGCCCACTATAGACGAGGCGGTTTATTGTGATAATACTTGTCGCTTTGGAAGGCCCTTCATCAGCCATACTGCGGCTGGCTCTGTCCCTGAGAACTGTCTTAGATGCAAGCCTGACGGTGGAGAAGAGAGACCTGTCAGACTCCTTGAGTCACTACTGCGCATAACTGATCCGTTGCCTTGACCTTTCTATGTGTTGTGTTCCCTAGTTTTCGTTCCGGGCGATTGAATGGTTTGGAGCTGTAGATGGCGGTGAAAGCTAAAGTTTATCCAAACCTGGCCTCCCATTCGAAGTGGATTCACCAGAGTACCTTATCGGGCTGAGTCTATTCATCGTGTTAGAGAAGAGCGATTATCTGATGTTATTCGCTGTCTTTTGCCTGGGGTGGTCTTGCTGGTGAAAATGTATGGCAATATGAACATCAGGATCGTCTTATTTGCGTGAGTGCTGAACTACCCTATTGTGCGAGCACAGGTTTAGGGAAAGGTGCGGTATCATACTAGATCGATAACACAATAACATAATTCATTGTAAATGAAACTGCTTCATTAGCCATACACATGCATTACTGTACATTGCAAATGAGATTGATTAAGTCTTAGGAAGATTCCCCTGGATCACAGGCCTCCTCATCAGGAGGCACATAAGGAGCCAATCGAACACCGTCAGCAGGGTGACTGCCAAGACTAGTAGCACTGGCCGGGTCGTTCCTGCTATACACAATGCGAATCTCATAGGACTCGAAAATTTACTTTTTCACAGGCTGCTGTTGAAGATGGTTCATGGACTCGACGAATAAGGTGTTTCCCGATAGTTCACGTTTAGTCGTAGTAGCTCTGCTGGGCATTGGAGCCAACAAGGGGGGCGTCGGGCTGCCAACCCTAGGCTGTTGCATGGGGGCAGGTCGGAAGTGCTCCCCACCAACCGTCGGCTGTGATCTGCGAGAACTCTACCCACCCAATAGTGACAACAGAACCAACCCATCAGAAGGGCCTCCTCGGGACTCATTAATGGCCTTGGCAGCAGCAGCTACTGCCGCATCGAATACTGCCTTGTCCACGTCCCCCGGATGGGAACCCATATAGGGTGCTGGGGAGGGCCTCGTCATTGTCATGGGGGCAGCATAAGCCTAGAGTGTTAGCGATGCATTGGAGTTGATGGAGGTGTGGTATTGACCTGTGGATCTGCCCGCCACTGCTCCATCATGTTGCCAGCTTGAACATAGTCCCTCATGTATTGGTCGATTCTGATGGGGAGATGATGAACACCGGAAGGGCCTCATCGACCTTACTGAACTCTGATGAGTTCGTCAATATATTGCGACAGCCCTGGGGGGAATGTACCTGGGGGGGCTACCACATAAATGGTGATAGAAGACCTCACCATAAGGAGGGGCTGCAGGAGGAGGAGGACCGTACCAACCTGTTGGCTGTCTCGGTTGGAACCTGATTAAAGGCATCCATACCTGCACGCATGCACATAAGCAGCAGACGCCGACCCTTCACGTTGAGGAAGGCCATATGCCGTGTGTTGTTCATACCTACAGTCACTGAACACTTGCCAAGCAGTGCTAGTAGTAGAAGGGGCGCCTCACTTTCCCTCTCTCATAGCTGCTACCGCTGCAGCAACAGCAGCAGCACCAACGACATCGGAGGTCGGATACGTTGGGGGCATAGCCTGAAAGCGGTGGAGGCCCCCGAACGTAGACCATCCAAGCTGCTCACCTGTTCAGGGCCGCACCAGGCAGCACTCAGGCGCTGACGGACACTCTCTTGGATTTGTCTTTCCCACCTGAACTCGATATCGGGAGTATTCGAGAAGGTACTGACCCTCACTGAAGCCTCGCAAGTCCCTCCTGTCTGTGTGCAGCCTCGCGATAAATACTCCATTTGGAAAAGCTGTGGGGAGCGTTGGGCAAACCTGCAATGACGACCACATCTGCGAGGACTGATTCACCGTTACCATAGTTGGCAGTAGCATCGGCCTGGTAGTCTCCCGATGGAAACTGATAGGAGGGTCTGAATGGCAACAACATGAGAGAGACAAACAGGGGTGGATAGGATCACTCAGGGAGACAGGGAGTAGGTGAAGGCACACCAGTGCTAGCATAAGGGCTTGATGCCACTGAAGAGGACATAGGGGAGCCGGAGGGACCGCTAGAGGGGCACCGTGGTCGACCCTGAGAGGTGAATGCCAAGGCATGGGCACCGACCGAGGGGTACCCGGAGGTTCCCCATGAGGGTCTGCCAGTCCATCGATACTCCTGGAGCGATGGGGGCCGTATTCACACAGTTGAGCGCATCCATGACCGAGTGCAACACAACTGACCGCGCAAAAATGTACTTATAAAACCCCCGGTTGTCCCAACGTAAGCAGTCCGAACGTCGGCACTTGTTGAAATGCAGGTTATACCGAATTTTTCCCAGCGGACCTTCAACCCGCTTACCCTCTACATGTTGCCCGGCAATTTTAGGGATATATTTATAACCTGACCTAGTGAAAGCGCGCCGTAATAATGCTCTCACCAACCACTTTTGGGCGCGCGCCACTCCATTCATGCACTTGCGCGAATAGCACCATTCAGTGATTCAAAAGCTTCGCTGGGCTTGTTGCTGTGACTACCGACGTCTATAGGATTAAGGAGCAGCAGAACACAGCCTTAAGCTAGAACAACAAGTTTCGGAACTACATGTTGATTCGAAGCTACCCCACTGTTTAACAAGCAGTACTTGTACCCCGGGGGTACAAGTTTGGGAGTCCCAAGCGGAACCACGAAGCATCACCATCTGCCTACCCCTTACGAGTGACCGGGGTCAGGGATCTGTGGGCTTGTGTTGCCAAGGGAAAACCGTCAGCGACGCCAGACAGCAAGAAATGTCCGATTCTGAAGAGAGAAACTTCAAAGTTCCCAAGTCCCTATCGGTATCGGGGCTTCGACGAATCTGCATCGTTTCGGGATCAATTTTATAGAATGCCTTACATAAGCACATCTTTAAGTTTGAGATACCACCGTAAAGACTCCTTATAGGGTAAGGCTTTTTCCCAAGGATTTCCTCACCGTAGGATACTAAACTCGAAGACGTACGGAAAGGGCATCGTTACAGCCTCGAAAACAAGATGCAAGTAGCATGCAATGCGTAGAAATAGTTGAACCTGCTGGGCTTGCGATGGTTGTTGCATCTACCTCTCGATCGAGGCTGCTGAGATCCGAACTCGATCGGAATCCAAAAAGTCGCCAGTCGACATCTGGAAAGAAGAACACCGAACTTAAGAGGCGAACTTCTCTTTTCTACGGATAGACAAAAGCCGAGTGTATAAGTACGCCATGAGCTGAGAATGTCTAATAGAGAATATTAACCCTCGCAAGATTTGAACCGGGGTGGTTGCAAGCGAGGCGACGAATTTTACCGCACGCGTATATTCGACTGAGATGTCTGAGGTCTACCGTTTCCAATATGTTGTGGGAGAATATCAAACACTGGAATGCACAGGCGAGGGGGCGGTTGCAAAGATAGATTTGTCTACTCTGGGATGTACTGGACATCGTATGATGCCAAATCTAAGGGCGCCACGGGCAGCCTAGATTGCCGAGTGATCTATCGCTTGTTCCGGCCGGGGAGTGAGGATACGAGTGGGATTGGCCGCCAGCAGAAGTGTCGGGGAGCATCATCAATAGGATAAGGAAGTCCCTTATGGATGGTCGGGAAACGGCCACCCTTACTGGGCCGCACGGTCAACTCCTATTTTTTCTAGAATGCCATTCCTTCATCGCTTCACCCCGTGCTGCCATGGAAAAGGCAGTGGGGAGCCCATCCAGGCATTTCGGGTTTAGCAGGGCGCTGTGGACAGGTAGGGCTCCCTTTGAAGGGTTCATTTAACTTGTGGGATCTCATATGTTTTACCGGAGATCGCGGTTGGGCATGAACAGGAGGCGGCCGGGGAGATGGCAAAGTGCGTCCGGCATGGATGGTCGTCTCCGACTGGAGGACCTTCGGGACCGACTGGCAGCTTCATATAGAACTGACCGTGGATACGCTCCACAGGAAGTCAATATGCATTCGTACAAAGGTTCGAGGAAAGATGGTATTACTCACGTTGCTTTCCAGAATACCTCGGTTGTCTCTGATGACTCGATGTAAGCGATGATGCTGATGAGGATTCCTCCCCTTCTCGGGAGCAGACCTCTACCTCTCTTGAGTGTATGGAGGAGAAGGTGTAGCAGGAGGTACTATAGCGCTGATGATAGGGCCGCGGTGTTGACCTTTGGTTATGGGAGCATTGCTGCCGTGCCGGGACTGGCCTCATTCGGTCTCTACTTGGTGCACATCCTCGCGTCGAGTTACCATCTCTCTTCGAAGCTGTGAAGTTCGATAAGATCCCCCCACACTTGCTCGACGTAAGGATGGACTGGGTGTATGTCGTTGGTGAGGCGAGGAGAAGGTACTGTAGATGTGCGCTGAAGGTCCCCTGACTCTCAGGGGGAGGAGTCGTGTGCCTCTGTCGAGCATTGGAGTTGTCTTAGTAGGGAAAGTGTAGCTATCGGCTGGCGAATATGTGAAGGGTGAATTCATCTGATGGGTCCATCATGTCAATGCTTGATGTACTGTCTCGTCCTTCTGTTCTTGTGGTGTTCACTATGGGATGGTACCACGAGTAGAGCTCTCCATCAACTTGGTGGCACCAACTCCTCAGTGAGCCTCAAGGCTCGAAGGCTGCATCGCCAGGGCTGTTCGTGAGGAGAAAACCAAAGTCAACATGGCAGATGCTACCACATGGGAAAATAGGATAATTTTACCGCTGCCGCCGCCGCCGCAGCGTGAAGAACCTCACCATCGCCACACAGAAGTACATCCCTTCAGTTCATGGCATTTATTTCCCCTGCCACGGTGTTGGGCTACTGTCTCGGCCGACGACCTGGTCTACAGGGGGCCCTCCATTCGTGGACCAACAGCCGCTCTCTCCGGGGAGTTGATGATTGCGAAGAGCCTGACCCGCCCCCAGGGTCGCCGCGAGACGGGGCTGATAGGTCCATCGTTGAGGTCATCGGAGGGAGAGTCGAGCGCAGTTTTCATGCTGTTGTTCGTTCAGGCGATCAAAACTCTACGGAGTTCATCATGCAAGACTTCTGCCGAAGCAAAGTTGATGCTGGCCGTTCGGGCGAGTCCTCCGGCAGTGGTGCACCGATGGCTACTGCAGATTTTCTGCGTTCTTATGGAGAGCGATGAAGCTCTGGAGGAAGTCTACCGGCTGTCGGGGGAGGCGGCCTTGAGCCTATTGGGCCTGGCGCAAATCGTCGATGATGACCGCTGCGCCACAAAATTAGCCGCTATTGACCATCTGGCTCCAACATGCATGGAGTTGGTCCGGCAGCTGGGGGAAATCTCAACGCATTTGGCGACCCTCCCTTTTGCTCGACGAAAGGAAGTCCTCGAGTGGCGACTGAGGAAGGTGAAGTTGTCTACGGGCACTTGGTTGGGTGATGATGGGACTTGGCGGACCCTTCGGGGCCTGGACCTTCCTAGATGCTTCCTACTTAGTGAGTGGAGTAGCTCTACGCCCTTCCATGTATGCCTGTCGTTGGAAGAGTCTTGCTCCAGCATTGAAGAGAACACCGGTATCGCCCTGGTGGGCACGTCGTCTGAAGGGGTACTCTACCCTCGGTCGCTGCTGTCACTCGCCGCCCCCCGTCGCAGTAGGAAGTCGACTATGGTCAATACGGCGGAACACACAACGGAGAGGAGGAGGATGACGACGAGCGTTTCGAAGAGGCCTTCTGGATGGACCAAGGAGGTATCCCGATCGGTCCCTTCTGGTGGAGTTGCCTCGCTGGTGGCGAAGGCAGGGAGTATGTCGATTCTGCAGGAGCAATTGGCGCTCTCGATGATATCATGGATGAGGAGCTGCTGGCTGGAGTGCCCCCAAGGAACTTTGGAGAGGTCCTTGGGGGCGGCTGTGAGGCTGTACCGAGTCCTATGCACTAGCAGTGGTGGCGTGGTCGAGGCAGTGCCCAACGCTGTCAGCTTGGACTCCCTCAAAAAGGCCTATGGTGACACGTGGGTGTCACTGAGCGCTCATTTCGAGGACCGATGGCCCGGGGAGGAGGGGGAGGCCGCTCTTGACAAGTTCTGTAGCTCCATGGCAGCCTACTCGGTCATATGCTACGTCTTAGGAGTGAGGGATCGACACAATGCGAATATACTTCTATGTGATGATGGTGAGTTTCTTCACGCTGCGGTGGTATCTTTTTATTCCTCCAACAGGTAGCATCTGTCATGTTGACTTTGGTTTTTTCCTCACGAACAGCCCCGGCAATGTAGCCTTTGAGCCCTCATTGAAGCTCACTGAGGAGTTGGTGGAAACTCTGGGAGGAGAGGACAGTCGACGATTTGGGGTCTTTAGGAGAATGGTAGTCCGAGGCTGCATGGTCTTGAGGAGGGACATCGACACACTCAAGAGCATGATCGAAGTAAGGCTACGTGGATACTTCCTCTAGTACTACTTTTTCTCATGGGTCTCGGGCCCTGGGTGACCTGCTGCTAGTGATGTAGCAATTTACCCATACGGGGGCAAAATAATGACTCCTACTAGAATAGGACAGTCGTGTAAGGGCATGCGTAACGGCGATCAACGCAACCGCAGATCATCACATTGATTAGCTATTGCTCGCCCTCCGATATAATCCACATCATAGTCAGCATTTGTTGTCGAGGAGGTGAAAAAAAGGGAGTTTGTATAGTTACTTTTCCCTCCACTGCCCGAGACTAATGGTTGGTGGCTGGGCCCTAGGCTCCCTTGCCTCTCTCAAGGGCTACCACACACTCTACTCCAAATGGACCAGAGACTACGACTGGAGCTCTCTGAACATGCCTTCAAGGACTATCTACTGGACCTCGTTGATCGATCTGTTGCTAATTGGCGCTCGAGGTAGTAGTAGTAGTAGTAGTAGTAGTCTGCCCTGCCACTGGTGTCAGGTGGTACGACCGGTATCAGCGCTACTTTGGTGGAATACTGTAGTCACCCATGCACAATTCATGTCACACTACTCGTCATGCTATCATTAACATTGTCAAGATTGACATTTGTGTCCGAGTGTCTCAATTGTAGTTGTGGAGTTGGTTTGGTGTAGTGGTTAAGGTTATCTGTTGTCAAGGAGAAGTCCTCCGGTTCGATTCTTGGGGATGTTGCCTAGTTACTTCGTAACTAGGCACTTCTGGGTGTTTCAATTCTCAAGATGTCCTCATCTTAACCCTGTCATCACCGCCTAGGTGATGGAGTACTCACTGTGCAGTGTGGGGGGAAGATAGGCACACGGCCAACTTCATATGTTGGTAAACATATGAAAATTCTGATGAAATTTTGGGAAATTTTGAGTTATTTCTGTACATTACGACCCGGATTCATATGTGAACTTGTATGATTATTAAGGGAACTCCTGAGCTGAGGTGAGAGAAGCGAATATATCCCAACACTGCTACTGTGCCACACGAGCATAGCCTCGACCAGCCGAGATGGGTTCCTATGAGCTCGTCGCTCTTCCTCCGACTCCTTTAGCCCTGAGGGGATGAGGCCCTGTCAGCTGGCAGGAGGTTAAGGCCAACAACAGGAGAAGGCGAGAGAACAGGGTCGGTGATTTCGACCCAATGCGAGCGCTTGTTGGAGGAGTAGGACCATCACAGAGCTAGTCCAAGTATAGTCTTCTATCGAAACGACCAGCAGCGGTAGAACCTCCGAGGACTCCGTCGTGGCAGCTGAGGCTCTCGAGTTGGCCCTACCGTCGTGTTAAGAAGCCCTTCTTGATGTGGTGTAATTACTACCAACAGTCAACTTGCCACCCTCACCTATTACGAGTGTGACCATGAGCTTCTTAAAATTGATATCATCAGTCTCGACTACTCGTGAGCCTCGAGTCTTGTGATAGATTGAGTCCGCTGAACTATCTCCAGCCTTCCCTTGATGCCCTCCTACCTCCATCATGCCCCTCCCCGTCTCACAGTCTAAGGTCAATGCCATACGCCAAGGGCTACTCTGCAAGGTAGGTGATCAGAGTGGATGGGAGTAGCCAGGATCATCTCATTAGGACCATGACCGAGAGTCAGAAGCGATGGCGCAGCTGTACGATATACCCCCTGCGACGGGCTACGACAACGTGTGGCGCCTTATTGATGAAGTTTATTCAGAGCATCTACTCCAGGTGCTCACTGGTTGTCTCCTGGGGATGACATGGTGTTTTCAGGGGTCTCTACGTGGGGAAATGAAGGAGATCAGAGCAGAGTGGCGTAAGGCAGGCTTTAAGAGTGACCGACCGAAGAAGACGAGCCACCGTCGACGTACCTCCAAAGGGAGTAATACCACAACTACCAGCAGCAGTGCAACACGAGGGACGACTTCGAAGCGGAAACTACACAAGGGGGAGAGGGAAGTAGGAGGTCCTCTCTATTCTGTCTTGAATTCCTCAACAAAAAGTGTTTTAGTGTCAGCCACAGGATCTCCTTGAGGATGAGGTTCGGCCGAAGCTGAGCCCTAGCACTTCTGCTCTCGAGTGGTGCGACGCCTGTGGATGGGCCCCCGAGGGCTCGTCGTCACCTTTGTTGCAGTGTGGCGCATGTAAAGTGAAGGTTCATAAGGCATGTGCTGGCAACAACTGGGGTGAGCGCATCCTCGTCCTCGACATTACCGCGCGCCACGAAATTATTCCTCTCAGGCACCCAGGGACTTTGTGAATTGTGTTCAAATGTAGCTAAGACAGAAGGAGCTTCACTTGAAGATATGCGGCAGTTTGGAGGAGAGCTTGTCACCGAGAGGAGCCTCTGCCAAATATGCGGCCGGAAGTAGGCCATCGCGGACTGACCCCTAGGGACCATCAATCCCAGTTACGTCGACTGTGCCACCGATTCTGGTGAAGACATGCGCATCGGCCTGTACATGGTCTCAGCTGCTTCGAAGGGTGAATGGGCACACGGCATCTGCTGCAAGTATGCGGAGTCGTCCTTGG